GGAAATTAAATAAATAATATATATTAATTTAAATTTTCTTTAATTAATAATAAAATAAAAAGTAATCATCACAAAAAAACAAAAAAACACAAAAATTTATAAAATGCAAATGATTGAAACCTACTTAGGGGTGGCATTAGCACATAATAGGGGTGCCATTAGCCACCCCCAAACATAACTCGGCGGCATGGGGAAGAGTAGTTATAAACCAGCCTCTTTGACTATGTAAAAATAATAATATACTTTAAATGTCATAAAATATAATAAAAACATAAAAACGGTATATAAATAATATTTTGAGAACAATAAAATGAAAATTTAAATATCATAAAATATAATAAATAAAATGTAAAGAGAGAGACATATTTAATATTTTAATAAAAATTATATTTTATTTTGACGTTATATCGGTAAAAATATAGTTCTGTTTCATCTTGTTCAATGGGTCGGGTGTGGAACACATCTATTCTACTTTTTTTTGCTCCATATAAAAGTTCTATTAAACGTGAAATAGTGATCCATGTTTAATTTTATTACTGTTTCCGATGTATCAAACATACCCTTAATGTTGACTAGAAAAAATAATATCATATTCGGGGTCAAATATTTTTTTAAATGTTATAGTTTGATGTGCGTTTAATAAATTTTAATTATATATTTATATCAAAGGATAAGTTTTATATGTTAATTCATGCATTTAAACTTGATATTGATTAACTGATTTATCGACTATAACTGTATGATTTATAAATATATAAAAATGTTTAGTTCGAAAAAGTGTATGTTTGAATGGTTCAGTTTAAGTCGAAATTTCGAACAAACCAAGTTGAACATTGATGTTATGAAGTTTGCCTCGTTAAATTAGACGAGTTTTATTTTACATTTGAATAACTCGTTTATAGCTCGAATCATTAACATTCTTGGATGAAAAGAATCCAAATTAGTCATTTTCGAGGTCAATCAGTTTAACAATTCATAAATTAGTTTAGTAAAGTTCGATTTTGGTCCCCTAATGTTTGTATTTTTCAACAGATATTGTCCATAAACTTGAAAACCTTAGATTTTGTACCTCACGTTTGTCGAGTCCGTCCCTCTATTTAACGAGCATTAACTTTCACCATTAAGTCCACTTTAATGAGGGGTAGTTTAGATTTTGTTTTCATTTCCTCTCAGTTTTGTTTAAAACGACAAAAAATATATTTTGTATGCTATATATATATATATACACACACGTGTGGATACACATATACAGGGATCTAATCATTTGAAAACTTTATATATATTGTTTCACATAGGGATGAGACTAGAGGATTGTTTTCCCGAACCGAACCGAAACCGAATGCATATAATCGATTTAGTTTTTGGTCCCAAGAATATTTCACAATCGGTATTCCGTACCGAGAAATTCCCGAAAATGTCGTAGCCGAACCGGGTAATCCAACAGGCATGTGGCTACCCCGATTTCTTCTCTATCTTCTAAACTAAATCATCTCTATTTCCTAAACTAACCCATATCCTCTCGTAAAATAATCCATACATTCTCCATAACCATTACTTTGATCAAAAAATCTGTATCACCGTCAAAAAGAAAATCAGCCCTACGGTTCACCACACAAAAATCGGTAGTATCATACCATCAAGAAATCGGCCTATTACCATCAAAAAAGTCAACTCATCCATTGATGAAACTCAAGTAAGTTTGTATATACCACAAGTTTTAAATCATGTTTGTCAGTCATAAACTAATTTTTTTAGTTAATTATTGGTTAATATTATATTAATCTTAATATTAACTATAAGTTTAATGTGGTTTTTTTGTGTAGGGAGATGATTCACCATAAAAAAAGAATCAGCCATACATTTGTTGAAGAAACCCTTTGTGTGGTAGTCAACAATGATTCCGTCCTAAATGGTCCTTGTCCCGAAACCGAACCGCTACCTAATTTGTACATACGGTCCAATTTTCGGTCCTCGTTTTTAGTCCCAAAAAAATTCGATACCAATCGCTTTGGTTCCAGTTCGATATCAATCTCATCCCTAGTTTCACATGATTTTGTTCATCTAAGATTAGATTTCAATATATTGATTTGACATATATTTGTTTCACAATGTGTTTGTATCATATGTATTTGATTCACAATGTGAAACATTTTGTAATTGTACTTTTTGTTTCACAAACACATAAAAAAATGTTCACATTTTGAAACTAATCTATGTGAAATAGATACATTAAAAAACAAATATATGTTAATCAATACATTAAATTCAAGCAGTAGATAAATAAAATATCATTTGAAATGGTATAAGATGTATCTATTCTTAAAGTTTATCACAATTTTATGAGTTGTCAAATGAAAGTCCCAACACACACACATATAAAACCATCGTAGCACTCGATGAAGACAAAAACCATCGTAGCACTCTGGGTATAACCGTCTTCTTCTTCCTTGTGACTTAACATAGTTCGTGAACCCATGTGACTCCACACCACGTTATTTTTCCCCGATAACAATCACCTTCTTCTTATTCTCTGTGACTCCACCCAATTCGTGAACCCCTGTGCTTCTTATATTTTACATAAATGATAAAAAAACTCTATTATTGTGTTTGGTATCGACTCTATCTGTATAACATGTATTGACAGATAAGAATCAATCTGAGGTGTACCAGTGATGCCTCTGATTTTTTTTTCCGCTTAATTAAATTGAAATCTAAAATAATATTAATTTATAAAGAAGTTTTTGTTGCCAAGATGGTCGAGGGTTATATTGTTGAAGCTAAATGTGCTTTGTACCTCGATTCAATTTTTGTTGGGACACAATTCTTTTAACTCTTATCATTTGTTGGCACGTCCATCATTTCTTCTTTCTTTTTTTCTCATTTTCCACCACAAATCACGTTTCAACTCGTAACTTTCAAGATACAATTGTTTTACTTCTTTTATTCTGCTTATTTTATTTTATAAAACTTAAAATGGTTAAATGTATGAAATAATAACCATTTTTTAATTTAATGTTATATTTTTACATAGCTCAAATGAGATGATGTGTATGACACATCATTCTGATAACGTGGTGTAAATAAAAAACCATATTAAAATTTTTAATGGTTTCCTCACTTTCCCTCTCGACAATTCAGATCTTACGAAAATTATGTTTTTTTATGTCTCTTTAAAACGGAAGGGGCAAAATACGTTTAAATGTAATGAACTTTGGTTTAGTTCCTATTTATTGTAACGAAGTTTATTTTTCTCAATTAATATAACAGACTTCTATTTTTCCATGCTTTATACAAATTTTACCTACCAAACAAGTTACTAACCTACATGTCATCAACGTCTATTGACATGACATTTTTTTAAATTCCAAATCAAGCGAATTTAAGTCATTTTAGTATTTTATCCTCTTATATAAGTTTTTTTTAATGTAACAATATTTGATGCATTATGTAAAAACATAGGATACATGTTTTCTATTATATATATATATATATATATATATATATACTATCTTATAATACATTTGGCTAAAACTCTTAATCTCTTAAACTCTTAAACTCTTAAAAACAACTTCTATTACTTTAGGTACAACCTACTAAAGCATGCTATCCTAAACTCCCGTTTCTAAACCCAATCCCATTTTTTATCACAACCCTAATCCTAATCCCAATCCCAATCCCAATCCCAATCTATCGCTCCTAACCAATTCGATGAAATCGTTTAATTCCCAATCCCATTTTTATCGCAACCCTAAAAACGAATTCATCCTATCCCATTTCGATTTCATCCTATCCCATTTCGATTTCATAAACCCTAAACGATTTCCTATAATCTCAACGACCAGTGTTACGGAAGGTTTATCGAAGCATTTGTTCCAGAGGTAATGTAACATAAGCATTGCATAGGATAGTCTCTCATTTCTGGTTCGATTTCGGATTAGTTCAGTTATATGTAGTTCTACTCAGTTTATGAGTTAATTTCTACTTTGAATCATCATGGAGATTTAATATATCTTGGAGCAAAATCTGATGTCTACATTGAACAGTTACACACATCTAATAATGGCTGTTAGGTTATCTTTGCGGATAATGATAGTTCTTAATTTGTACTGAAATTGTTCGGTTTACGCATCTATTTGTTGTGCGGGAACTTTCTTGTGTGTGTGATTATACCTATATGTCTATTGCCATGAATTGAAGTGCTTATTATAACTGAATATCATTAGGTTGTTTATGGAGAAAGRTATCTAGCTTGATCTAGAGATTAAGCGCTTTAATCTGGAGGTATGCTCTTCAAAACGATATTGATTTATATTTCAATTTTGATTTCTGCCACTWCTCTGCTGATGAGATTTTAACTTTCTTTCTCTTTTTTTGGTTTAACCGAATGATTCATAGTATGCGATTGATGAAGCCAAGGCTATTTACAACTTAGAGGTAAGAATCCTCTATTACATAGCAATTATAATTTCTGAGTATTGTAGGTCTTCTGTTCAAATTTTGAGTTTGATCAAATGTGGTTGGGGGGCTGCGGGCTAGAAGGTGGAGATGGAGAAGAAGTGAAAGAATCTTAAGGTGCTAGAACTTAAGGGTTTCTTGGAGAAGGTGGACCTTTTGATAGAGCAAGCAGAGATTGTTAGTAATGCTATAGTGAAATCTGGTGCCAATTAAGGTACACTCTGATTATGGGCTGTATGTGTTTAGGAGTCTTACATGTGCAAAGAGTTATGTTTTGTTATATGTGTATATGTTTGCTTGGTATCCTTAGAAGGTAGTTTGGTAAAGTAAACTCCTACGGTATCGTATATGTTTTTGTCAATGATTTTCAATTTGGAATTGCTTTAAGATTGCTTTTGAGTGATCAATGCACTAATTTATTATTTGGGTATGCAGATACATGGCATGGTTGCAGTTACTAGATGGTAACAAGCATTTGTGTTGTGTATATGGTAAGATTTGCTGCTGAGATTGGAAGCTTTTCTTGTAGTCATTGTGAAATTGTCTTGATTCTTTTTTATGGTAAAATACAGATCCATGAAAATGTGAAGGTGGTATATAACTTGCTCATAACAACTGATGCATCAAATCTACAAAGTTAATTTGTTTCTATTTTTTTTTCACTTTTTTTGTGTTTTTCCATGTAACTGATATTAAGTTTTCAATTTCTTTGTTTTTCATATTTTTATTTCTTATGATGTTAGATTTTGTGGGTGTTTCTTGAATTTAGCTTGATCAACAAATATAGATTATCTTTTAGTGAGATTTTGTTTAATTACTTGCATTCTATATTCTTCTTTTGTTTTTAAATCAATTTTGGTGTTCTTTTTGCTTCTTATGCCTTTGCAACAACTTCCAACACAACCCATTCGCTAACCCTTCAATGTCAAATCCACCAATGGAGTCATTGGCATAAATTTTAGGCTTCTTAAACTTGTGGATGAGGATGTAAGAGATCTACTCGTGGCTGCGAGCTTTGTACTTGCTGCTTCTGAAGCAGTTGCAGACAGAAGATCTTCTTCTCAAAGAAAGTGGTGGGAGGCTTATGGAAGATTGTACAAAAAGGTTGAATATATATGCCAACTCTTTGCGTTATATAAAATTTTAAAGAATTTATTGTAGTGATTGGTGAAGTGTTTGGTAACGCTTACTTGGGTAAGAGTTTACCAAGTCATATTATCTTACTAGATAGATATGGTAGGGACCAAAAATTTTACCCGGTAAGAACGAAACAAAGACAATAGTCTTACCCGACAAGTGAGGGTGATGACTCTTACCACGGTAAGCGCTTACCGAGTAAATTGTTGCAAAGAATATCGTTTTTGTGAACTATAATCTTACCCGTTAAGTAAATGATAGTGTTGAATTTTATCGGTAAGCGCTTACCGGTAAAATGTTTGGTAAAAGGGCCCCTTATATTGCCTTATTACCTTGTTAACACCTATAAGAACATAAACTCTGATGGGTTTGATGTTAATATACAACTTTGGATCATTTACGTGCTTGATGCTATTATTGCCTTTTTTATAATCCAACTCTATCAAGTCAAGGACTCAAACTAAATAAAGCATCTATCTCAACATTATGGGCTTTGGCAGCGCCTGGGTTTGAATCAAACCCAGGAAGACGAGATATAAAAAATTCTAGCAACAATCATTTGTAAATAAATCGTCGAACCATTTGATTCATTTCTTGCAATTATCAGTTTGTTTWTGGTGACTTCTCTATACCTTAGTTGTGAATTATCTGTCATGTATTTGTTAAAAGGCATCATGCTATCCGGTAATTATACAGCTCTGTAACATTGGTATATTTTGAATGGAGAACATATMCAGCCAACTTCCTAGGTGTCAAATTATTTTCAGGTATAAGATGAATGGTGGTGTGAACCAGGCCATGGGGATTGGTGTACTTTTTTGGAGAAGTATACACTCTATCGTGATGGCATGTACCATAAGGTATGTGTAATGTTCTTTATTTCTTGTTGCTTTCTACTACTTCTAGAGTTCACCCATGGAACAATGCAACACCGAGCATGACAATGCAACACCGAGCAAGTGTATGAACACAGCCTTTTAAACTTTTCGTATAATTTTCCTTTTCTAATCTATAGTTTCTTAAGGACAAAAACCATTCTTAAAATGCAACATGGCTTAATCGCTCKCCTTAACAATCTAGCACATATGTGGTGTTATTAATAGATACCCAGTGACAAGATGGTTTTGCTCCATTACAGAAAAGGTAAAAAGACGAAGTGGCAACCAGAGGCATTATACAAGAATAACTTCTGTACAATAAAAACGCGAAGTGGCAAGACCTGAACATCCTCTTGCAAAACTTTGAAATACTCCTAGGCAAAGAATGAGGGATGGCAAAMCATCTCTACCATAAGACTATGATCCCACACAACTGATCTGCCAGCATGTTTATTGCTTTCTTTATAAATATGTTGTATCTAATAAATATTTAACATTAAAGCTTCTATATGCCATACTATGTACACGCTATCCATGGAAATGTCATAAGACCATCTAAGCAATTCATGGATCACACTCTGTAGTGTTCACTTATGGACTTGTGTCCTCGGCAATATGTACAACAACAAATAATTTTTGCTACAGCAAAATGGATCTGCTTTGATCACACAACCATGAATAAGCAACAATGACCAAATCATTAACATCCATAAGTAAACCTCCACCTGAACTTTTCCTGCTATTTGATTAGCATTCTTCTCTTTCTCAGGAAAAAAAGGATAGATGTCAGATAAGAACGTCTCTATTGTTTTAGCTTATCTTGGATCCCCCGATCTTGGGCAGTCACATAGAGTGAGTGACAAAAGATCTCCTATTGTTTGTTGGTGACTTCATTTACAAATTTAGATGAAATGTTAGGTCTTGATTACTGTGATCTGGTAAACTTATTGTTTGTGGCACAAATAGTTGAGTTTTTGGAGCTGTACTTAGAGGTAGCAGCAGTAAATTGGTTTTATGCAACCGACATGAATAAAAAGGAAACTTTGATACTAATTTCTAATATTTATGTGATTAGATGGTATGCTTTGCATCTTGTTCATTCAAAGGTGGTTGTAGATCTACAATCCTGAACTTTGGACCTTGCCAAAACAGATCTCTGATTATGGTTTTGAATAGTTACATCATCTAAGATGGCAGCGAAAGGGAGTGCCCAACCATATAGATTGTATTTAGAACAGTTGGGAGGTAAACATGGTGTTGTGTAGCTACAAGGCCATTGCAAAGGACATATTAGGGTTATTGGAATCGAGAACCAGTGATCCATTGTTGATCTGTGTTGCTGGGTGATTTATTTCAAGTCTTTTCTTTGCCTTGTTCATTCGTATCTTGCTTACAAAATGATACTGAAAGTTGTTATATGACAATGACTAACTTTGACCCATGCATTAATGAGATATTTGGATTTTAATAGCAGTACATGCTGTGCAGCAAGATCAATTTCAGCGCCTACTGCCGACATTCATTCAAGTAAGATTTATCTGAATCAGAAGAAATTGAATAATGGAATGTATTGTCTGCTGTGTCGCAAATATTGAAGATTTAGGGAACAATCACATGTGATGGCTTATTACCACGGTAAGCGCTTACCAAGTAAATTGTTGCAAATATTATCGTTTTTGTGAACTATAATCTTACCCGGTAAGTAAATGATAGTGTTAAATTTTACCCGTAAGCTCTTACCGGTGAAGTGTTTGATAACGCTTACTTGGGTAAGAGTTTACCAAGTCATATTATCTTACTAGATAGATATGGTAGGGACCAAAAATTTTACCCGGTAAGAACAAGACAAGGACAATAGTCTTACACGACAAGTGAGGGTGATGACTCTTACCATGGTAAGCGCTTACCGAGTAAATTGTTGCAAAAAATATCATTTTTGTGAACTATAATCTTACCCGGTAAGTAAATGATAGTGTTGAATTTTACTGGTAAGCGCTTACCGGTAAAATGTTTGGTAAAGGGCCCCTTATATTGCCTTATTGCCTTGCTAACACCTATAAGAACATAAACTCTGATGGGTTTGATGTTGATATACAACTTTGGATCACTTTACATGCTTGATGCTATTATTGCCTTTTTTATAATCCAACTCTATCAAGTCAAAGACTCAAACTAAATTAAGCATCTATCTCAACATTATGGGCTTTGGCAGCACCTGGGTTTGATTCAAACCAGGGAAGACAAGATATAAAAAATTCTAGCAACAATCATTTGTTTGCAATTATCAGTTTGTTTTTGGTGAGGTGATCATAGGATTTTGAAAATGGGATGAAGCAAATATTTGAATAAGGTTTATTGGTTTTGTTTTTTTTAATCTCTGTGGGATTTTAGCTTTTATTATTGCAGATATGTCAATTGGCAGCGAAAGATATGGGACAAGACAATTACATAGGACCTGTAGAACATGTCGGAGAACAAGGCAATGACACTGTTGGCACATTGCACGTTTGGTATATTCAATGGTTACGGGTTTGGTTGCATCGACTAGCGATGATCAGACAATGACATTTGTTTTGATGTAGTATGTGTTAC